TCTACCATAACAAAGATGTGCAGCCATTTAAATCTTTATTTTCAAAATTAGTAGCAGGAACCACGAGAAAAAATCAATCACAATTATGAAGCAGCCGGATGATGATCAAGTAAAGATCAATTTTAATTAGAATTCGAAAGAATTAACTTCACATCCTTACATTCAAGTCCAAAGCTAGGTTTCCTTGTCGTAGTCCCAGTGTGAAAACTTCAAGATATATGAAGTCAATGATCTAAAGAATTCTTTTTTAAACACGAAACAGAAAAATTGATAAAATCCAACCAGACCGTCTGTCATTATACATCATGTTATACAGTTCATATGTGGAGAAACTTCACATGTGGATCATCATGTTTATACAATTCATATGTAAAGTAACTTTACACAAGGACATTGTGTTTATACAGTTAATACATGAGTTAACTTTACACAAGGACATGACGTTTGTGCATTTTATATGTGAAGTAACTTTATACAAGGAGTTCTTCAGAGAAAGAGTTAGACTTGAAGTTGACTTGACACAAACACTATTGTAATGAATCTTTGCCTTGTAGCCCAAATAGTCTAGTGGTGGTCCGATTAATTGAAATAATTGAAGATTGGTCGCAGTGACTAAACGACCATGCAATCGATCATGTTTTCTCATAATCGAACACAAACAATTGGAACACTTGTTTTCATTAACAATATTTTTCACAAGGTTGGTTTTGTCTGTTACATTTCATAAGCACTACAAGCTCGTTTCAAGTCATGATTGAATTCATCTTAAAGACTCCAAGAAATTTATGTTCCTAACATACTATAGCTAGTCATCATTTAAAGATGTGAAATTTTGCCCAAAAAACCCCAAAGAACTACGTTTTTTCCTTATTTTTATGTGCATTAACAAATTTCATTAATGACGCTAACCAATTATTTTCGATGATTGATCAGTTGTAATGAACCAATCATCAATTATGAGATTTTAACCAATTCCCAACACTAAAATAGTCACTACAAGAACTGTCCTAAGATTGACAAACTGACCTTGGAGATGAACCTCTGATGAAGTTTTAAACTGTTTATTCAGGGTATCGCTGTCGAAAAGAGCAAAGGTCTTTTGTATCTAATTTACTGAAGACTATTATTTAAAAGTGTGTGTTATGAAATACTATAAATATATGTATCATGTGATGTGCGCGTGTTAAAAGTACTGGTATATTGCAGTTTTGAAAGTCATGTATATATACATTTTGTCTTGTTGAAAAAGTTTACATAAGTGTCAACAATAAACAAGTTGAAGTGGAATTATGACATTTGCACCTGTTTCCTGTAATTGAAAAAAAGTGAAACTTTCTGCGGCCAGTTTCCTGTATATAATGTGTCTAGTACTTCATTCGTTGTGTGTGACCCGTGAAGAGGCGACTAACGGGATCGGGTGGTCAGACTCGCCGACTTGTTGACACATGTCATCCCAATTGTGTAGATCGATGTTCATGCTGTTGATCACTGGGTTGTCTGGTCCAGACTTGATTATTTACAGAACACACCATAAAGCTGGAATATTGCTGATTGAGGCATAAAAGCAAACCTATTCGTTGTGACCAAAGCAACATCTAACAAAATACAAAGTTGTCCAAACTGTGACTGGGAACTGCATGCCAGATTGTGGTATGGACATAGTACATGAATACATTATTGTCATACAATATGATATGAAACTCTGGGCAATATCCACCACTACTTTTTTAATCAAGAAACACCAAATGACAAATCACTAAAACTAAGGCCCAAAAAAATAAATGTTGTGGTTCCGATTTCCTACATTTCAGAACTAGGGTAGGTAGGTAGGTATTTTTTGTTTTTTTACAAAATATTTTTACATTATGATGATTACTCATGTGTCAGAAAATAAATTTCATTTATTATGTGGTGAGTAAAATTGTTAGGCTCGGCGGGAAATTTAGGGTCGGTCGGGAAATCGGAACCACAAGCTTTTTTTTTTGAGGCCTAATCATAAATGGTTTTGATACCAGAGACAGAAAAAACAGCAAGAACAGGGGCCGACTTAACTGACTGAGTTTAGTTTTAAGCCGCTTTTAGCAATATTCCAGCAATATCACGGCGGGGGACACCAGAAATGGGCTTCACACATTATGCCCATGTGGGGAATCAAACCCGGGTCTTCGGCGTAATGAGCCAACGCTTTAACCACTAGGCTACCCCACCGCCCCAGGGGCCGACTTAAGAGATGTTAACCTACTTGCACCAGGTGCAACCTAAGATAAAAACCTAGTTGCACCAGCCAAATTCCAGTTGTACTGCTTTTATTGCAATATGTAATGAAAGAAATATGCTATTCATTTATCTAGATGTTTTATTCAAAAGTTTACCTACTCAAACATGGACTTGTACCTGGTGCAGGTTAGAATAATAACTAGGTTGCATTTTGTAATATTGGCTTGCACCAGTGCAAGTAACAAAGCACTAAATCGAGCCCTGAAGAACTACAACATACATAACCCCATTTCAAACTTTTCAGTCTGGTATTATCCAAAAGGAAGACATGCCGGTACATATGCTCCCAGATTTACAATTAACAAAGCACCTGTTGAAGAACCCCTCTCTTCACATACATTGTAACTCCACATCTTTTTTTAAAGTTAAATGTACCAAACCCAGACTTCACTGAAAACTTAAATTTATTCAGAATGTCCTATAAAACTATATTAATGACACATATTTTTTTTAAGCAATCTGTCAGGGTTCATCGCAGTACCTATGCTTCCTTGTTCAAACATCTTGACGGTTGACACATCACAGTCAAACATGGGTATGTACCGACGACTACAAGTAATTCATTCTATCTGACAGTTTCCATTCTACAATCTCAATGAAGCCACCATTTATTGCCAGTCAGCTGGAACACGACGTTGAGGTCTATTCAGTGGTATAATACTCTACAAGCTGACATGGAGCAATCTTCTTTGTAAAGCAGCCATCAAAGAAAAACTCTTCATGTCTTAACTGGAGAACGGGTTTAAAAATTCACCTGCAGGATAACTGACATCAGTTTCAAAACATTAAACAAGCCCATGGTCAAATAGCTTTTAAAATGAATATTTCTAAAGACTGGCAAGAGAGTAGGAAGTAGCAGTATTTTTATTATCTACATAATACATTTATATATTTATATCGGGACAGTGGGTTCACTGGAAAATACACTTGGTGCACTTGAACACTTACAGCATTGTACAATGAATGCACTATCATTTTGAATACATAAACGTTTGGGAGTGTGCTGTTAACTTACTGTTCGACTGAAGTGAACAATTATGATTTCAGAACTTCATCTTGGTGAATGGGATACATTTGTAAGTCCAAACACCCTCTCTGAGTCTTAGGGTTGACTATGAAATTTGTCTGAGGCACATATGAACTACTTTCAAAGGCAACCCAACTCACTTTATTTGGGCTCCTTTTCAATTTAAAAGGAATTATTTGTTTCTATCAAAATATCATTTATTCAGAGACTAAGCGTTAAGTCTAGAGACAAGTGAAACCCAAAATATGAATTAACTTATAACAATGAATGTCCCCAATAATGTTTACAAACAATCCTATTGTTCCTCCCTCTATTCAGACTTATCATAATAATACAAGTCATGTGGTCAAGTCAAATGTCAATTGTAGGTCCTTAGGGGTGGGCAAGCAGGAAGTTGACCTGACCAGGATCAACAGTAGGCCACGCTCACTGTTTAATTCATGCTGGAGATGTACCTGTGTCAGCTTAAAGTTCAACATCATTTTTCACTGTACCCCGCTGTCTCCTGGTGAACTGTCTGACAGACAGGGAGGTAAATACTGAACATCATGTCATCCCGGTCAGACATCAGTCTGCCCTGCTTAAATGATGGCATACATAGTGGTAATCAAATGGTTTGAAAGGTCAAGCAGATAATCATAATTCACCGTAACTATCAACATGAATCTAGGCCATGTCAGTGAGTAATCAGGGGTAATGGATGTCGATGATGTGTTTGTGGTTAGTGAGTGACAGAGAGGTTTTATTTCGCTTTTAGCTGACTGGTTGAGTTTGGTTTTACGCCGCTTTTAGCAATATTCCAGCAACATCATGACGGGGGACACCAGAAATGGGCTTCACACAATGTACCCATGTTGGGATTCGAACCCGGGTCTTCGGCGTGACGAGACAACGCTTCAACCACTAGGCTACCCCACCGCCCCTCGCTTTTAGCAATACTCTAACAATATCACAGTGGTTGACACCAGAAATGGGCTTCACATATAGTACCCATGTGGGGAATCAAACCTGGATCTTCAGTTTGAAGAGGGAACACTTTAACCACGGGGCTACCCAACCGCCCCTGATATGTTTGTAAAGTTATCAAAGCATCAAAGTTATTACTACTTGAATTCTACTAATAAAACTGAATATTCATACATGGTGCATATATGAAAAAATCAAGTTGCATAACCAAGATACTGTGGTCATAAATCTTAAAAAATAATATTTTATGTTATTAATTTAGCTACTATGGTTAATATATTCACCTTAATATTTACTTTCTTAACCAACATCTTGTGGTAAACATGCCTTCATATGAAGTAAATATAGTCTAAATATAACATATCAATCAGGTAAATATCACTGACAGTGATTATTCCCAACAAGCGTCATCAACCAATCAGCAGGATACATCACCTCAGCATGTGGTCTAATTAGTGTTGATTGATTAACTCAGCTGCCATAACACACACAGCAATTAGCGCCATCATGACCATAATGACATAAGCAAAGGTGAGTGAATCAGCAAGAAACAACAAGATAAGCCCACAGTACACTTGAAATCACAGTAGAGATAACATAACGAGATCATCAACGAAAACAAACTCAACCTGATCATTATTTCATAAGCTTCATAAATATATATTGTTGTCTCCTGAAAAAAAGGACAATAATTATCATAAAAGATCTTACAGACTGAAATTGAACGTACCGGCCTATGCTGCCTTGGATGGTGTATTTGCTTGTCAAGGGCTCCGTCTTGATCGTACTGTTGGGTACATAGTTAGCCACTTTCAGCCCGTTCATACTTAGCATGTTCCGTTTCTACTCCCTCACAAGTGAATTACATTGCACCACATCAGCTCTGATAATCCAATCCAGAACATGTATATCGCCCCGTTCACGGCGATAATGTGTGAAATCAATGCAAATTCACAAAGGAATACACTCGGTGAACGATCGGTAATACACAATCGGACGGTCAGAGGTGCAACAAGCACCTGTCCTCGCTAAACTTTTCAGTACTGGAAATGTATATCCCGATTCGACCAGTGTGGTTACTGTTTCTTTCCGGTTTACTCCAAACTTCTTGATCTTCTTGTTTTCAGTCTAAATTTCATTTATTACTAATAAAGCCTTTGCGTCTCACCCGCTAGGCTTTCGCACTCCGGCCACTGGTGTAATATTCCAGCTTCCGGTATTGACAACGAGGCTCTATAGTACTGGGTTACTGTCTACAGTGATTTCGAAGCGGCGAGTAACTATGCAAGTGACACCAGTCCAAATGTTATTAAAAAGATGGATGAGCATGTGAAACGAATGACATTGTGCTTGCGAAAACTGACATTAATGCGGAAACGGATTCAACAGTGATGTTTGTTGATGCTAAGCACACGTGACTAAGACACTCATATCATTTTAATTTATAATTATTTATGATACTTTCTAAAAAATACATCCTAGAATATACGGAAACGACATCAGAGCAACACAGGGACAGAAGATACAAGACAAGGATGCCATTAATTTTATCTAAAACAAAAGAGTTACAAATACCATTTTTTTCAACAGACACCTCATACTAAACTGCAGAAGACGTCTTCGTTGAGATTTTTAGTTGTTCATATCGTAGTTGTATAAAGAAAACTACACTAGTATAAAAAAGGAAAACTTTTGCAAAATTGAAATAATACCAAAAAATATCAAACAACTAAGATAATTCAACGTACTTGTTCAAATATGACTAATAGTATTTTTTTACACCAACGTAAAATAATATTTATTCAGTCATCCAAAGAATTTTTGATTAACGGACATCAGCAATTTAATTTGCAGTTGACTGGGCCCACATTAGTTCTATGCTATATGGGGGCGGTGGGGTAGCCTAGTGGTTAAAGCGTTCGCTCGTCACTCCGAAGACCCGGGTTCGAATCCCCACATGGGTACAATGTGTGAAGCCCATTTCTGGTGTCCCCCACCGTGATATAGCTGGAATATTGCTAAAGGCGGCGTAAAACCAAACTCAGTCAGTCAGTCTATGCTATATGGACGCTGGATTATATGGCGGTTAAAGTGTACGCTAGTCACTGGGTTCGATTCCCCAAATGGTTAAACTGTGTGTCTGGTGTCTCCAGTCTTGATATTACTGTCGTTTTGCTAAAACAGAGAAAACCACACTCATCCACACTTAATACAATCTACCTATAATTTTTCGTACGTCAGTGCTTAGGTGTCTGTTAAGTTCGTTGTTGGTTTGTTGTTTAACGCCGCACTCATCAATATTCCACCTATAATGGTGGCGGTCTGTAAATGATCGAGTCTCTACCAGACAATCTAGTGATCAACATCACGAACATCGAAATATGCAGTTGGGATACGATGACATGTGTCAACCAAGTCAGGGACCCTGACCACCCGATCCCGTTAGTCGTCTCTTACGACAAGCATGGGTTGCTGAAGACCAATTCTAACCCGGATCTTCACGGGTCGCTTCATAAGTTAAATAACACTGTAAGATGTATCCATACATATATGTGTTGATAGAAAACACAATATTGCAACGAACGCATCCGTTATCATAACGAAACAGCATTTCTCAGGCAATTTAAGCGCCCTCTACCTACATACAATTCCTCTTGTTATATTAAAGAGGTAGAACCGAATGTAATTAACCTAGGTCAAGCGTTGGGCGATTGTGTCAGCTCCATGTAAAGCCACAGACGTGATGTCAACTGACTCCTAACTGCCAAGAATTCACACAAGGTAGCCGCTCCACGTAACATAACAGCCGCCAGCGATGTGCCATACCCATGTTAACCCAGGATTTCCCCCTCTCTTGCTAACACTAACGTCACCGTGTTTTATACCTACCTGTGATCTGTGACGAGTTGGCCCAGACAACATCTCTGAATCAGGTCGCTCCATCACGTCATGTTTCCCGTTACTTATCACTGAGTTAAGTCACCAACCAGCCATGTATCTTATCAAGGGATTCTGTCGCCTTCCAGGATCGTTTTTTTCTTTGATCCGTCCATGTGCTTGTGACTTCTTTCTTGTCACTGGTTTTTGTCGCTATGCAGCGTCGTTTTGTTCTGTGATGCGTCCATGAGCTTTTTTCACTTCTTGTCACTTCTTTCTTGTCACTGGTTTTTGTCGCTATGCAGCATCGTTTTGGTCTGTGATGTGTCCATGTGCTTTTGTAACTTCTTATCACTTCTTTCTTGTCACTGGTTTTTGTCGCTATGCAGCTTCGTTTTGTTCTGTGATGCGTCCATGTGCTTTTGTAACTTCTTGTCACTTCTGTCTTGTCACTGTTTTTTTTCGCTATGCAGCATCGTTTTGTTCTGTGACGTGTCCATGAGCTTTTTTCACTTCTTGTCACTGGTTTTTGTCGCTATGCAGCATCGTTTTGTTCTGTGATGCGTCCATGTGCTTGTCACTTCTTGTCACTTCTGTCTTGTCACTGGTATTTGTCGCTATGCAGCATCGTTTTGTTCTGGGATGTGTCCATGTGCTTGTCACTTCTTGTCACTTCTGTCTTGTCACTGGTATTTGTCGCTATGCAGCATCGTTTTGTTCTGGGATGTGTCCATGTGCTTGTCACTTCTTGTCACTGTGTTCTGTGACCATGTACCGTTATCATTGTTCATCTTTTACCACTTTCTGTCATCTGATTAATTTTGGCGCTGTGTTTTATATCAGTGTTATGTCATTTGTTCTGTCAACGTGTTCTGTCACCACTATTTATCTCTGTGTTCTGCCACAATTGACACTTATTCTATCCATATGTTAGTATGTTAATGTTTTGTTATCTTATCCGTCACGAATTTTTATGATCTCTGTACACAATGAGTTCTGCCACTATGGGCTGATATCTTATCCAGCTGTAAATATGCTTTGTCACTGTGTTTTGTTGTCACCACTTTTCATCACCATGAGCTGTGCCATAACAGACTAATATCATGTCCATCCGTAAATATATGCTGTCCCAGTATTGTGTTATCGTATCGTCACGACGTTTCACCACGTGTACCATGTTCTGCCGCAATGGGCTGATATCATGTGCATCTGTTAATATGTTCTCTCACAGGGTTTTGTTATCTTATCCGTCACTACTGTGTATCACAATGGGCTGATATCTTATCCATCTGTTATTATGTTCTCTCACAGGGTTTTGTTATCTTATCCGTCACTACTGTGTATCGCAATGGACTGATATCATGTCCATCTGTTATTATGTTCTCTCACAGCGTTTGGTTATCTTATCCGTCACTACTGTGTATCACAATGGACTGATATCATGTCCATCTGTGAATATGTTCTCTCACAGCGTTTTGTTATCTTATCCGTCACTACTGTGTATCACAATGGACTGATATCATGTCCATCTGTGAATATGTTCTCTCACAGCGTTTGGTTATCTTATCCGTCACTACTGTGTATCACAATGGACTGATATCATGTCCATCTGTTATTATGTTCTCTCACAGCGTTTGGTTATCTTATCCGTCACTACTGTGTATCACAATGGACTGATATCTTATCCATCCATCTGTGATTATGTTCTCTCACAGCGTTTGGTTATCTTATCCGTCACTACTGTGTATCACAATGGACTGATATCTTATCCATCTGTTATTATGTTCTCTCACAGCGTTTTGTTATCTTATCCGTCACTACTGTGTATCACAATGGACTGATATCATGTCCATCTGTTATTATGTTCTCTCACAGCGTTTTGTTATCTTATCCGTCACTACTGTGTATCACAATGGACTGATATCATGTCCATCTGTGAATATGTTCTCTCACAGTGTTTTGTTATCTTATCCGTCACTACTGTGTATCACAATGGACTGATATCTTATCCATCTGTTATTATGTTCTCTCACAGCGTTTGGTTATCTTATCCGTCACTACTGTGTATCACAATGGACTGATATCATGTCCATCTGTTATTATGTTCTCTCACAGCGTTTTGTTATCTTATCCGTCACTACTGTGTATCACAATGGACTGATATCTTATCCATCTGTTATTATGTTCTCTCACAGCGTTTTGTTACCTTATCCGTCACTACTGTGTATCACAATGGACTGACATCATGTCCATCTGTGAATATGTTCTCTCACAGCGTTTTGTTATCTTATCCGTCACTACTGTGTATCACAATGGGCTGATATCTTATCCATCTGTGAATATGTTCTGTCACAGTGTTTTGTTATCTTATCCGTCACTACTGTGTATCACAATGGACTGATATCATGTCCATCTGTTATTATGTTCTCTCACAGTGTTTTGTTATCTTATCCGTCACTACTGTGTATCACAATGGACTGATATCATGTCCATCTGTGAATATGTTCTCTCACAGTGTTTGTTATCTTATCCGTCACTACTGTGTATCACAATGGACTGATATCTTATCCATCTGTTATTATGTTCTCTCACAGCGTTTGGTTATCTTATCCGTCACTACTGTGTATCACAATGGACTGATATCATGTCCATCTGTTATTATGTTCTCTCACAGCGTTTTGTTATCTTATCCGTCACTACTGTGTATCACAATGGACTGATATCTTATCCATCTGTTATTATGTTCTCTCACAGCGTTTTGTTATCTTATCCGTCACTACTGTGTATCACAATGGACTGATATCATGTCCATCTGTTATTATGTTCTCTCACAGCGTTTTGTTATCTTATCCGTCACTACTGTGTATCACAATGGACTGATATCTTATCCATCTGTTATTATGTTCTCTCACAGCGTTTTGTTATCTTATCCGTCACTACTGTGTATCACAATGGACTGATATCATGTCCATCTGTTATTATGTTCTCTCACAGCGTTTTGTTATCTTATCCGTCACTACTGTGTATCACAATGGACTGATATCATGTCCATCTGTTATTATGTTCTCTCACAGCGTTTTGTTATCTTATCCGTCACTACTGTGTATCACAATGGACTGATATCATGTCCATCTGTGAATATGTTCTCTCACAGTGTTTTGTTATCTTATCCGTCACTACTGTGTATCACAATGGACTGATATCATGACATTGTGCATCTATTAATATGTTCTGTCACAGTGTTTTGTTGTCTTATCCGTCCCCACTTTTCATCACCGCGTAGCATGTTCTGCCTCTATGGAGTGATATGTCCATCTGTGAATATAAGAGGTCA